CCTCTAATCAACCTCTTAGACAGCCTCATCTTGTATGAGCTTTTTTTCAAAATATGGCCTTTCAGAACAATTTCCAGGAACAAATATAAAGCTAAACTAAATAGCCACAACAAATTGCAAAAAAACACGCATATATATACATGTATAAAATACACACCCTTATAAGTTAAATGCTTAAACACAAACAACAAACACTTACTGTAATAAACAATTGCAAGCACCACAAGTTGCAACCACAACACGGCTGCACTTTGGAGACACTTAAGCCCCAAACCCTGGTTGTTTAGTCTATTCACAAACACGAACTTTATAGTCTGAAATCTTCAACTATTGTTATGTATTTCTTTATAATCCAAAAACACACTTATTGTTTTATAGGGTCGGTTGGGAAGATACGCCGAGAAGTGTTGAACAGAAGGACAGGCGATTGAGTTGGAAGAATAGGTTGGGAAAAGTTAGATTGCGAGAGTAGGACGTAAGACTGGAAGAATCTACATTCAAGGCCAGGTTGCACCATTGTGGTGGTAAGGAGAATGACGCAATTCAAACACTGAGAAGAACAAGAGGCCCAAAAAACGGTGCACTCTCCTTTGTGGAGGATGTTCAAACAAAGCTTCAAACGACATCAAAAAGATTTCATCATTTTGCAGGTGTTTCCAATCAATATACATGAGGATTTCGCGGCTTTTGAAGGCCAGTCTCACCGCAAACTGCCATGACAGAAATACTGAGAGAAAGACTATTGCCTTTGCAAGTGCTTTCTTGCCAGGCGCCTTCTTGTACATTTGGTGTTTGATTGCAGAGTTTTGATGTACTTACGGTCCAAGTGTTGGTCGACCCATGTTGAAAGCACAAATCATCTGCCGACCGCCGAGCCATCGCCCCCTTTTTCCACCGGCTCCTTCAGTTGATCGTTTGGAGGCCTAAGAAGACTAGCCGCTTGATGCGAAGTGGTGCACTTGCTCTGTGAGCTCATTGCTTCTAGGGAAATGTGGTGCCAAGCACTTGCAGTGGTGTTCTGCTTCAAGAGATTCTTTCTGATAGTTGTTGGAAATTAGTAAGTGATCTCACAAGAAAGCCAAACTAAACAAACCTGCGCATCAAAACAAAACAGCCGCAACGCCGGAAGAAAACCAAGCAGCAACGATTGGCCTGGCAAGCGCACGCCGCGAGCCGCCAACTCCTGTGCTCCGGACCAGGGTTGATTGAGAAAAGGTCGCCAACATGAACTTCAAAACCATTAAAACTATATATCTTCTAAATGAATCCTCTGTAAGGAGTTGGTTTCGCCCAGCGTCGTCTAAAGCTATTTCTATTGTATTTGTCACAAACTCATACCCTTCGGCAAACGCTCCACTCTACTGTTAAAAAAGACCCGCCCCACTTTGTCCTCCAATATGCAAGCTTTGTAGTCCTCACAATGGCTGGAAGGTTGTCACAGCCATGCCCCCCCGAAAAAAGCTTGGATTCATATGTTGGATTTTTAACCTCCCAGCCCCGAGTGTGACGAACCCCCAGAGGTAACGATGTCAAAGCTACCCTTCTCCGACAAACACAGCAAACTATGCAGTAGCACCCAGTGACTTGGGGTGTCACGACGTGGCATTCCGACAAATATTCAGAACTGCCAAGAAAAGTCAAAAGACTCAATCACGACCCCAAAAAGGCAAGAGACTGATGCCCAGAAGGCCTTCCAGTTGAGAACCTGATTCGATCTTGTGGTCTCCAAAAGGGAATCACTACTTTTTGGGGAATCATGAACTTCCTCGGTCTTCCAAAACAAGCTGCTCAGAAGCCCGCCCACACTTGAGTTGACACTATTTTCGACGACATCTCCGCCTCGAATTGGTCATCACAGGGGTTGTTGAGCTGATGACGCAAGAAGCCCTCAGCAGAAATCAGTGCACGTTGCCATGATTTGCCATGCAACACATCTTCATTTGACTTTAGCTCATGTTTAGAGGCACACGGTAAATAGCCCCAGCTAAATAACAAATGTCCCCCCAAAAGCCTGAACAACATAAAGCAGGTCGAGGAAACATATCAAACATTGCCAAACTACGACAGAAACGACAGGGAAATATTTCACCTCATTAGCGAACAAATGGCAGACCGCCACTTGCTGCACTGCCTGGCAGGCGAAACCCCCAAACAGTTCATTGCAGCACCGCTCCACCGCAGCTTTTCGTTCCTTGTGCTGTAGGCCTGATACCTCTGCAGCAACTCAGCGGTTTCAGAGGGTGTGATGAGGAAACAGCCCCTCACAGGGTCCAAGCGATAGATCTGCTCCTGTCAGCTGAGTGCAAAAAAAGCCTGAAGAAAGCAGACCTCACACGGTGTCACCACATTGTTGGACCACTTCGCTTAACATGTTGCGGACAAGGGGCAATTTCAATGAACATTGTATTAATGTGCAAACAACTTAGATTCTGCTTGACAAAGACTGAACCTAGAATTTCACTTTCCAACGCTGGTGCTCTTGGCGTCCACCTTCAGTCAAAAAGTGAGCCAAAATGATGGATGAGCCCCAAGCACCATCAATCAATCTTTGACGCCACAACACTGTGGCAAACATGCCCAAGAGCATCAATTGAGTGTAGGTTCTTTGAATATGGATGAATTCGTGTTCGACCTGGAACTATCAGATTCAATGGCACGGTTGAGAACATCTCCTGTTTCACTCAACCCTCGCTTAGTTTTGCCTTGAAGCAATTTCTTCTCTGATTTGATGCCGGCAACCGCTGCCTTGCCACGCCGCAAGGTGTGCCAATGGCCTTTAGCATCTGGAGTCACTTGTCCCGGGCGTTCGTAGACCAAAAGGCCTGACATAGGAGAGGCAGCGAGCCAAACACTGGTGTGAAATATCAATATATAGAAGTGAAGCTGCAGGATGCCGTTAAAATCACCCCAGGCTTGACACCACTATCATGGACTTGGAGTGGTACAGGAAGAATCAAACAAACAATCATGGAACCCAACAATATCATGAGACACACCCACGTAAGAGAACGCAGGGACGCAACAAAACTCCACAGAAGAGGTAGTATGATAGCTTCTTGAGAACTTTCACGCAGCCAGCCTGCCCCAACCTCCATCTCCAGAGTGTGCCTGCACAAGACGAAAGATGAAGAAATGGAGCAATCGTCAAAGGGCAAAGTGGCTACTCCCTCGGGGTGTTGCGCTCATGCGCTCCTTAAGACATCCCATTTGCACCATGTTTTCCATCGATGTTCCTTTTCTCAGCCTGGGCTCCAAATGTTGCGCTGCCCATCTGGATGCTTGCCTTGGGCGGGAAACTATTGGCCATGGAAAACTTACCAGGAATCTCATTGAGAAGAGCACCCACCCTTTACATGTACAGTATCAATGCAAAAAACGAAACTCCCAACTCCCAACCCCTTCCTGCCTTTTACTCCCTGTACTCCTCACGCTCTCATTCGTTTGCCTCCGCCCTCTATCTTCTGGAACTCGTGGTCGTGAACTACTCCGTTGTACAAGAATTTGATTGGACATTGGACTTGTGAATCATGTGTCAACCTTCGAGGGCACAGTGGTTGACAATATGTGATCAATGTGCATGTGTAGACACAAATAAAGGTCTACTTCTTGCATCCATTCTGTAAAACCCCTCTCTCAACCTGATCAAGTTGCAGAATGCCGATATCATCTTTCATTGGGCGAATATGTTTGGGAAAAAGGTTTCACATCGGGCAAGGTGGGCAGTTCGGGTAGCGATCAGAATTGGACCCACCAAAGACTTCATAGACCCGATTTGTCACCTCCAGGCTGAAAGGTCCCAAAAATGGATCCATCCGGATGACTAAAACAGTTTATTACATTTATTACTCTTCTTTTTTGCTGAACCCTTTTGACATGAGAATAACAATTGAAACCAATTCGTCTGCGGTGCTCGGTAGTCATTTCTGGCACCTCCAGATTCAGCCCCGCCATCTTGGCCTCGACCGTCGCTCCATTCGTGCCGGAGATGCGAAAAAACTCGAGTTGACACAGACACACAAGTAAGCCTGGCATTATGCCTTTTACACAAAGAAGAACACTATGTTAAAAGGCATGCCAGTAAGCCTTTTAACATGCAAATCTGCCCGAGACTAAGTACATACAAACTGTCTTGGCTATCTTGGGTGTCATTTGTCAGTGTCCCTGTCACCATGCATCATCCAAACTATTAAGTCACCATGTTTGTATGGAAAACTGCAAACTTGCTCTGATTTGTTCTTCCCTTGATGGTTTTCTCAAGTCTTTAAGTCGCAGGGGCAGCTTGTCGGAGGCAATCAGCTGAATCGAAGTCAAAGTCGATCCCATCCTGGTCAAGAAAGAAAGGTTGGACAAAGAATCACCAATCAACCGACTCTTGGTTAAAAGGGCGTGCAGCTACCTGCAGCTGTGGTAGGTCATGGTACCGCACTGAGTTGAGATTGGGAATCGGGAAGGCCTCAACAATTATGGGGACTATTGTTCAATTTTATCTAGGAATAAGTGCATCGCTACTAGTAACAAGTGCCTTACTACTAGGAACAAGAAGCTGGTAGAAACAATAAGTAAATAGAAACAATAAGTTAGGAACAAGTGCATTGCTACATTTTATCTTCCTTTCCACGACAATTTAACTTGGGCACCCACGACTTGACTTCCACATGGACTCTTCCAGCCCCCCGAGACTCCCGACCAATTCAGTCCTCGGGCATCGCTCGGTGCCCCAGACCGTCCGGATGCCGAGCAATCCGCCGGCGAGCTGCGCAAGAGGCCACGTCCAGGCGGGAGGGGTCATGGTGGCTCCGAAGAATCACTGCGACATCCTCAGGCTTTGGACGTCTTGGGTTCGATTTGAGGGAAACCGTCAACCAAAAAAACAGCACGCCTGACATGAGAAAATCCACCAATTTCCCGACTGACTGTCGAGGGAATTTATGGGAATATGGCACATGGGAAGAGGATACAAACAAAGTTCGAATTGTTTCTCAGTGTGTTTTCATTTTAAGGTCCTGCTGTTTTCATGCTTAGATAAGTTTCAGTAAGGTCTTTCTCTTTTTCGATGAGACATCGTCAGCTTCCCTCCTTGTGGCCAAGTTGTTGTGCCAATTGCTGTGGCGCCAAGCCAAAATGGTTCACCGATTGCTCAACGTTGTAGCGCAGCAAGGCACAGCAAGCCTGGACCGCATGGTAACCTATCTGATTGACCTCTTTGGCAGCTTCGTGTGGCTCTTACCACTAAGTAACGTGTAGCCTGGTTCAAACATGTCCGTGGCAATCAAATTCAAATGTCTATAAATGTCTATAGTGCACACCTTCGGGTGTTTCAACAAAGTCTGAGCGGGTGGAATCGCTCCGAAGTTCAAGTGTGCAAACGGGGTGGACCCTGGCTTAGACTTTTTGCTTCTAGAACGCGTCTCTGTAGATGCCAAGCCTCCTTTTGCCCGGTCCGCGCGCAGTGGTGCAAGGGCGTGTCCTCATTTGTTGGTGCAGGAAACTGTTCAGCTTCAAACGCAAGTGCAGCATCGTAGCCGCAGGAAATCACACCTAGAACGCTTCCTGTGCGTGTGTGCGTGTGTGCACTATCCACTGGAATTGTGAGGGTTTCAAGAAACTTTGGAGATGTAGACTTTGGTGCGATACTGCCTACGTGCGGCTGAGGGAATATCCCCAAGAACGTCAGCCCCGCACCAGGCTCCGAAGGTTTGGGATCTCTTTCAGTTGAGTGCCACGTGGCCCCACGCTCGTCTTTGGAGTTCAACATGGGACGGCAGCCTGGCGATTGCCCAATGTGGACTTCAGCCGATAAGAACGCAACAGGAAAACAATATATAATACTACATTACTACATGATACTACATCTTGATCTTGTCGTTCCAAGCTCTAACGAGGTCCAGGTTTGAGGTGTAGCAGGTCAGAGTCGAGTCGATCGGTCCGGTAATCTTTCCCCGCTTCCACACACCACAGCATGTCCTCAGCAGTGCAAGCTACAATTCCTTTGGACCTCTCGTCTTAAAAAAAAATCCCTTTTGTAAAGTCCCCCTTGCAGCAACCCCACCTAAAGCCTAGCCTTGTTGAATTGTTTTCCAATCTTTGCCAGTATTGAAAACATTTGAAAGAAACTTAAATACCTTCAAGGTGAGGGTTGCGTTAGATGAAGCAAAGCTCGCACTATCCTCGCTGACATGGCCTTGCAACGTGTTCTGCAAAAACATAAGAAGAAAAAAGACGACATATACAACGCACAATTATAGAGAATCGACATGTTTTTTTGATCGCGCGTGTTTCTGTGTGAGGGGCTCTCCTCGCCTGGCGTGGCGCCACAGCGTTCCAGCCACCAAACGCGATCATTGGCAGCTGCGTGGTGAGCCATCAAGGGGCTCTGCAAGCTCCCTGGAAAACTTGACGTCGACTTCTCCTGGCTTGATTAGTTACCAACTCGTGCGTGATCTCTGTATCGCATCCAGTGCGAGATCGAAAAAAAAGAGATCAGGATCCTGGCATGTCTGAAACTAAGCCTTCGGAATATATATATATATACATAGTTTCAGACATAAACTTCCAAAATTAACAAAAACAATACTTAGAAAGGAACAAAAACCACATACTTAGAACATGTGACATACCAAGAATGCATCTAGAAACGCCTTACTTAGAACATCGGGGAAAGTGATACTTAGAACATGTCATGTTGGAGCCACATTCTGAACACCATTGTCAATAGAGTCCTGTGACGTCCGCACACTTGGAACATAGGTTCCACAATCATTGCCATTTGCATTTCCTTTGATTTATGTTTGCATCATGGGACTTAGAACATATGTTCTCTTGTGTCCCATCCCCCAAAGTCCTTCCAGCCCTGCAGAAAGCATACACTTAGAACATCCCTACCCACCTGCAAGACGTTCTTGGCATTTGCTGACTAAGTCATATACTTAGAACATTTCTCGCGGGTCTCTTGGAAAAAAACATATCCAAAATATGTTCTAAGTGTTTGTCCGTGAGTATATATATATACACACATCCTTGTG